CGGCCAATATTTCAAAAGGCACCCCCGCCTTACATTCGCTCCGAAACTAACTAAACACCTCTGCAGGGGTGCGATATACGGACAAATTCAGAAAGAGAGGGAGCCGGCGAAAATTTCTAGCCAAATTATTTCACACGCCCGACCAGTTCCCTTTTCTCCTCCTATTAAACTGATTTGCTCGGGTGGAGACGAAAGTTGAGTTGATTTTTGGTGTGCCCTTTGAAATTTGATTTCGGATCTACCAACGCCCTTATTTTCCAGGAGAGGAAGTTGAAAGTAAAAATGCTGGCTAAGAAAGTCTGAATATTCATGCCGTGCTTTGAAAGTGCCGTACGTTTTATTAAATAAATAGGCAGCATGTATGTACGTACTTGGGTTAATGCGTTTGTTTTCTCCATTACAGAACCGTTTCGCCAAAGAAGCGACGCCGTCTTGATTACGTAAACACGCGAGAGAATTATAAAAGACCTCCACGTTCTCGGCAAAGTGGGTGAGTAATAATTCAGAGGTTTTACTGCCGCGCTGCTTTTCTGCTCAAACTTTTAAAAGAGAGTCTCGCTCGCAAATTGCACTTTTAAGAGGCGCTGCAAGGCGCGAATTCCCTCTTAAGCTGGAGCAAATTTTCATCACCTGACGGTCTGCAGAGGTGCGTCCCGAAATTCCAAAAACCGCTCGAGAGATAAATTCCGAGAAAGGTCCTTCGGGACTCTAACGAGCCGGAATAATCTTGCAAAGTTGAGCACAACCCCGAAATGCCCGCGCCAACCCTTCCTCTTCTTCGGTCAGCCTTCTTAAATGTTTACATTCAGCAGAGAGCTATTAATCTTGATTCCGAAACTTGTTTCAGCACGACCGAGCGAGCGGACAAAACCCCAAACACCCCCGCGTGTGCTCCCAGAAGTGCACCCCCTCCGCCCCAGAACCAATTAGCAGTCATCAACGTTTGCACTCGTTAATTGGCATGAAAGTGCAGCCAGGTCTTTAGGAATTCACGCCGAGACGCCACACAAAGGTTACTTCTTGCTCTTGTAATTAATGGATTGTTGTTTGCTAGCTCGTTTGAAGTCAGTTTTGTTCCAAGCAATTTCATCCTAGGACTTAAACTTTAGACCAAAGATTAATTAACTTGCAAATTATAAACAATTTTTTTCCTCCAGCTCGTAGTGAAGTTAAATAAGTGTTGTGCTCATTTTGAAACAAATTAAAACTGGCTAAATGAAACTAAATCGATCGTAATTTTGCAAAATAGTGGATTACTTTGTATCACAACATTATAATTTAAATTTATCAACTCTTTTGAGATCCTGCAAAAATTAGTCTTTTAATTTGAAAAGTTGGTGAAATTAGAATTTTAATGGGAAATAAAGGCTGGTTTCAATTAAGAAAGTGCATTAGGGTGCAAACGTCCTGAGGGAAATGAGAGCAGCCTCACCTGTTTTTGGAGTTTGCGGAAATTACAGCGGCGGAAAGGGTCATAACGTCGGTTTATTGCGGCAAGGAAATTACGCCCTTTGCTTAATTGCGCACTTTTATTTACCCCAATAGGACGGGTAATTATCTTTTAGTACTGTCCCTCCCGGTGTGGTGGATAGTAATAATATGCAGCAGACGACGACTTTCGCCCAGCGCCGGACCGGTAAAGAGGAGGGTCGGTGTCTGTCTGTGTATAATTACGACGCTCGGCAACTATACATGAAATCCGAAGCAACTTCATTACCCAAGAGTTGGTTCATTCAAAATGCATGCAGATCAAAGTTTGCGCGCGCGAGCTGTATTAATGAACTATAATGTAGCGGTGAATGCACAGCCAGGTCGGCGGCTGCCATTCATCAGCCATACACAAACATCATCAGTGAATCTGCTCGGCTCTTTATTGGCACACAGAAGCCGGAGGGCTCTTCGAAATGAGCAGTCTGCTTGGTTTTGACTAGATAACGTTCAATCATTTCAGTTTGAAAGTTTGCGGACTTACTCATGAATAGACGGTTGCAATAAGCAATATGAAATTCACTAAAATTAAAAAAAAGTTTGATATACATGGAAATATGGATTGCAAAGGTTTTTAAGAAAAAATAGTTAACTTGCAATTATATTTACAAAAATATAGAAATTTAAATAGCTCCTAACATTTAAAACTATGTAAAAAAGGCCTAATTTAAAAACTGGAGAAATATCATGTGCTTTTAAAAACATGTGTTAATGAATTAAAATGTGCTTTTGAAAAAAAAATGTAAATGTAAAAGCATTTTACAAAATACACTTATATTATCCTAATATTTTTTAAACATTCAATATATTTTATAAATTTCCCTTTTATTAACGTATAATTAATAAAAAATAATATTTAAATTTTTATTTCATTTTTTTTTAGATAATTGAAGTAAACAAGATTCTTGAAATGATTAAAATTTTTAATCAATCAATAAAGTTCCTAGTTAAAATATGCACTATCAGAAATATGAGTTATACTGTAAAGCATAAGGCATTATGTAATCAAGTGATTAATAATTTTATATTGGTGTTATTTCCAGGCCATGTACTTAAATAATGTAAGTTAAATGATATGATAGATTAAAAATATAGATTCTTACTTATCACATTGGATAAGTGCAACTCAAACAAGTATAATATTATTATATATTACAATAATAATTGCAAAATTAAATATTGCAATTTACTGAAAGCCCTCATTGAGAGCATCCACGCATTTGCAGGCAGCCTGTTTTCCCAGTGTGTTTGATAAAGCCGGGGCGCGGTACTTCATTAAGGGCGGCTCATCTTGGCTCAAATCAGCCCAATACATTTGCGTGCGTGTAGTGTGCCTGTGTGTTGCTGGCATAATCACTGCAGAGGTGCGCGTAAAAAGGATTTGCCCCCTATTCATGGGCTGAGCTAGAGCGGATGATGAAGCAAAGACCCAGCGGAGGCTCCGTCGGCTTCCATACACATATGCTTATTATTGACAAAACCCAAACTTCGCCACCCTCCGAAAAGGTGAAATATATTGGGTTTTGAATAAAAGGGCAGCTTGAAATGTGCATAAAAACCTTTTTCTTTGATTAGGTTCGGCCAGGATTAATCAGATTTTTTCTCCCCATCCCTTCTGATTGCTGATGTGGAGCGATTCTGAATATGAAAAGGAGGAGGAGGAGGAGTTTGGGGAGTATAAAGTTTAAAAAGGCTGCCGAGCAATTCCATATCTCGCGTGATGGGCGATAAATTTTCATTTTACGGCGCACCTAAAATTGAATCAGCAGCACTTACTTCGGCAGCGCGCGGAAGTGCCACCGGAGTAAAAAAGAGGAGCATAAAAAGTGTCTCCAACGCCGCTGCAAACTTTTTATCATTTGCTTTAAAAAGAGCGGAAAGTGTGTGTGCGTGCAAAATTTCGAGAAATCTGGCTCGCGATTGCTTTCTCACATGCTGCGTCAGTAATGGCCGAGTAATTCGTCGGGCGGTGCCGACGACAAAGGACTCTGAATCTCTTCATGAGACACGTTATACCCACACCACAACGAGACTTGACTGTGCCAAAATGACACATTTGATACAACAATTTTTGAAAATTAACAAAACAGTTTCTTAACTCCATTTTTTTTTTCTTAAATTAATGAACTTTGATTGATTTATGTGTGGTTTTCTTTTCAAATATATTTCAAATTGTTCACTATTTTAATTTAAATTTTTATTCCAAATCTACTCACTGATTGTGAAGAAAATAAATTAAAAATAAGACCCCAATGACAAAATAATCCATCTTTAATCTCAAATTAATTAATTTGAAAACTCCATGGAACTCTATATTTCCTCCTTAAATCCACTTTTAGTATTAGGTTCCCTTATATAATAGATATCAGTCAATATCCCACAACTATTATAAGCCAATATTGCTGCAGAGAGTTACAGTGAAGAAGCTTTTCCGTGTCACTATCAGATGATTAGTTGCCCCGCCGAACGATGAGATCAAATGGAAATTTAAAAGCCCGAGCTGATTCACCGCGAGGGTAATTACTCCCTTTCCCAGAGGCTGCGTAAACGGAGACACTTGCTTCTTTCTTATTTACTGACTTGTGCCATACGCACGGCGCACGCACTTCTCCTCCCACATTTGAGTGCCACTCGATGCATCCCCGGCTGACGTTGATTGACAGTAATCTGCAATACTCGCGACGTTATCTCCTTAACAAACGCCACACTGCATGAATCAGCTCTCTCCGAAATCTATTACGTTACATCTAAGTAATTAGTGTCAATCCCCTTAACGGATAATATTTTATACATGTGCAGTTGGTTCCTTTTGTAATGAGATTACGTATCAAGGATTTCTCAACGTACTCGCAGCTCCTTTGAGACGACATGAGACTGCGCTCTCAAATTTCATCTTTAAAGAACTTCTCACAAGTCTTATTCATCCTACCATATTAAAATTAATTTAAGTGGGTGCAAATGATTAAAATTATATTTATTTTGTCCTACGTGACATAATCTATAAAAAAGATGATTGTCAAAATATTTTGCTTCAAATAAAATTAAAATCATATTTTTCAAATGTATATAATTATCTTAAAGAAAATGTGAAAATCATAACTTAAAGTTTTGGGAATAACAGCATTTTTATATAATTTACTGTTATTTCTTTGAAGACGATACGTTTCAAAAAAATCGTCCAGAAATTCGTAATTTGAAAAGAAAAATCACCAAAATAAATTTATGGCAGAGCTGAGAAAATTTGAAATAACGGCAAAATTTAATTGATAATTTATGAAAGTTTCACAAACCATGACAATTTGATTTACTGAAACTTAAAATATAATAAATTGAATATTTTCATTTAATTATTATACATAACTGTTAATTTACTGTTGTCATTAAAAAAAAACCAGAAATCAAAATTTATAAATTATTTTCAGAAGCTTTTAGTTTGTGTGAAATTCGCACTGATTTTGTTCTAAGCAAATGGTGGTTCATACTTTTATCCCGCAGCAAATTAAAATTCCTACCTTGTTCTTTGGCGACCGGCTCTTCTTCCTCAAGCGTGATGGTGGCGAGGGCAGGTGCCGCGGGGGCGGTGGCCGCGTTCACCCTCGTCGTTGCCAAGGCTGCACACACCGCGACTAAAATCACTGCGTTCATTGTCTTTTCTTTCTGCACGGACGGAGAGGAAGAGAGAATTGAGAGTCGGAGAGAAGAGATTCGGTCGAAACGCACTCGGCGCTGATTAGCAATCACCACCTGAAACATACACGCAGGCATTTGCATTTGAAATTATTCGGCTGAGAGTGTGTGTAGAAAGAAAGGGAGGGTCCAACATATAAAAACAACGCGAGCAACGCGGAGATTCAATTTGCCTCCCTCGGTTCGCTTTACGACGGCCGCAACTTCAAAGGCAACTTTCGCCGGAATTGCAGAGGCCTCCAGCAGGTAGAAAGAGAGAGCGAATGTTGCGGTGAAGCGAGCAAGGGTTGCTTTTCAGACGCGGATGGCAAGGGTTGGCAAGGTGAGAGCGAGTGAGGTTGACGGCAATTTATCACGCGGACGGGCATCGCGCACTGCCCCTTGCTGTGGCCTCTGTGCCCCGCCATCACGCAACCTGGCCTCAAATGTGGCCGTTTGCAAAATATTTTTTAGGAGAGGGGCCTCCTAGGGACGAGAATTTTGTACTTTTCAAAGTTTTTGAAGAAAAGAAATAAAACCTTTTTTGCTCATAACTACCATGAAGGGATTTATCAATAATTATGGTGTGATATTTATGTGATTTATGTTTGAAGATGATTTGCAGAAATTGCATTGTTAATATTCGATATATCATAGTGATGTATTGGATTAAAAAGTATACGAAATTCTCATTCACCAGTCATTTTTCACAAAATTTACATCAATAAATAAAACAATTATTAAGCAATTTAATCCTGTATTGGAATTTCTCAATTGAGGGATATTAAACAACTTGCAAAACCTATCAAGGAGAAGCTGATTGTAAATTCAAATTACTAAAAAATTTAATATTTATATAAAATTTAAAAAAAATATTTTGCTGAGCTTTTAAGAACATTAAGATTTAAATAATTTTGAGCATATTTATTAATAATATTTTAAATTTTTTATTTTAATTTTTCGTCATTATTTTTTGAGCGTTTATATTATATTTATTTTATAATTTTAATTCCTGTTTTTATCAGAAATAATTTTTTTTAATAAATCCACAAGTGCAGTAAGAAACAGTATTAAAAAATAATAAACATAAACTAAAAATTTGTTCTTCGCGAGGTTTCAAGAGTATATTGCCCTTAATTCAATGAATAATATTATTGGTTGTTGAAATAATCATGAAAAATTATAAAAGAAAACTTTTCGTTACGAAGATAAATTAATATTATGAACGAAAAATTAAATTGAGAGATAATGAAAGATACAAAACTATAAGAGTTATAAGACTTTCCTCTCTACATGAATCAGACTATATGAATATTATTATGCACGTCGTTGATCATTGATGTAAACACAGTTTGTTGAACTTCAAATAAAAATAAAAATATATACATATTAGGCGGTTATATTATTCCCATTAGCATTACTGAAATTGAAAATTTAAAAAAAAATCAAATGAGTCCTGCAACTGTTAATCAACTTAAATTTTGGCATAGCATGCGTTTTCCCAGGTTGCAAAGTTAATAACGGGGGACCGTATAATATTTTATGCTACATGTTCCCCGCCAACATTACCGTGTATTTCCAAATTTCGGCAGAGGTCACCGTGCGTAATTTAATATTCACCCCTTTCGGGGGAGTGTGTGTGTGACGCAAATTAACTGTCACTGCACGCGACTACATTATGCATTTAGCGCCGGACATTTAGAGTCCAGTTTGAATTTTACACAAATGAGACATTGCGGTGTGCGCGCTTCACACCCAATTGTTGGCTCGCCAGCAGTTAATAAATAAACTAATTTTCAGTCTGCGAGTGCGAGCGCTCGTGAATAATTAATAAAGTGCAGTGCGCGAGGGTGAAATGAAACCCAGACCGACACCCACACCACACCGAAAAGCGACAGACGGCTCGACAGCCAACGTGGGCTTGCAATTTTGATAATTGCCTGATGCTTTGCAGAAATACACTACTTATGCGTATAGTTATAGCTTGAAAAAATTTTATTGCGTGCTAGCGATGAGGATGGTCTGATCTCGACGTTGGCTGCAAAAGTGCAAATTTAAAGTTTTTTACATTTTCCCCAGATCTGCCCCAGATTTAATTTCAATTGATAAACGGATGATAAAATGCAAACAATCGATATGATGTATTTTTCACTTGAGCTAGAGTACAGCAGGTGTATGGTGTGCCAACCACAAATAATTTGATTCTTTGAGCTTTGTGTGTTTTTTTTTATTATTTGATTTTTATCAGGGGTTAAAATAATAATATTTCATGAATAATATTATTGCATAGTGTGTTTTTCAATAATTTTTCCGCTGGCAACAGTTAATATATTTTTATATTAATGAAAACTTTGTATTAATTCAATAAAAATTGAAAATACCCTGATATATAGGGAAAAAACAAAACAAAAAATAAGTAAGACATCAAAAATAAATAAATAATTAAATACATAAATTATGTTATGTGTATTTTTATGTATTGAAAAAATAAGAAAGAATAAATAAATTAATATTAAGTAATTTTAGTATTTCAATAGTTCGTACATTTTATTTGCCATTTTATCAAATATGTGATTAAAGAATTTGAGAGTTTTGACTTTTACGCTTTTCTTTTCCGGATTGACGCTAACGCTGGCGAAACACGTTCGACTTTCACGTTCTGCTCCACTCTGGTATTATGAGATTGTGGCGGAGCTCGCCCCGTCGGAACTTAGCTCTCTTGAGACCTCTGAAATGCGTCTGCTAGGGTCAGGGGTGGAGGACCGCGGGCCAATTTGATCCTCCCCGCGCCCCTTCTGGGCTGCCCACTCCAGCGACGGGACGGAAACATCCCATATAACTCCCTAGTCAAAAAGGAGACGAAAGTGAAGATTTAAAACATACAATTTTTGTTATTTTTAAAACTGCTGACAAATGCACACTAATTTTAATTCCATAAACAGAATTTTTTAGCTTGACGGAAATATTTTAGTTGAAGAACTGTTTGTGAATAAAATATGATGCACTTCCTAACATTAAAACAGTGTATAAATGGCTTCAACCCGGGAAATTTTATAAAACTTCAATTATTTCTGTAATTTTTCTTTTCTCCCTGAAAATATTTAAAGTAAGAAAGGTTGGATCGGGTCGTAAATATCTATCATGTTAATAAATCTAATAAATTAGAAATTTTTACTTCATAATACAAGGAAACGAACGATCTGCTTGCATTCCAGTGTTTGATATTCATGAAGATTTAATAAAGAAACGCCCTGCGGCTTGTTCATTAAGTTGCGAATATGCATCACACGGTAGGCTGGGTTATTTAATGACTGGTGAGCCGAGTAGCAAACGACGAAGAGAAACTCATCGCAGATGCAATCGGCATGAGCAGGGAAATTCACGGGAGAGAGACGGATCGGAATCGACGGCGGCGGGCGTGACTCGGTTAATTCCTGAGCATTTTATTACAGAGACCGGTGCGAAGCCCACACAACGATCGTTTGCAGATAGACGAGCGAATTCGCTAAAAGGCAACAACTCGGGGTGGATTTATTTGCGCTCGACGCCGATCGGCGATAAAAATTATTATTGGAAATTCCTCAACTGCAACGTTTCGTAAAAAATAAAACAGAATGAAAATGTGTTCAGGTTATATATTTTTTACAGAGAGTTGGAGGGAAATGTTTTGGGGAAAAGAGTTCACACGCTAGCAGGCAATTTCGCGAGAGCACAAAGTGAAAAAACGGACGCGTCATTCCGCAGCAGGCCGGATAATAATTCAACCCTTCACGCCTCGGTATGAATAACCGCGGCCAAAAATGCTGATAAAGCCATAAATTCTGGCCTGCGTGGAGTGAGAGAGAGAGGCGCGTGTGACACACATTTATGCGCCCCCATATTGGCCCATTGTGCATTCCTCTCTTTTTTCGCGAGCAGGGCAGATTCGAGTGCCAAAACGTATATATTACACATTCAGCGAAACACGGCGGCGGCTTATTTTGAAAACAATAATCTGCATTCAGCAGCAAAAAGCGGCCCGTCAAAGATAAAAAAAAAAGGGAAAAACTTGCTTTGTCCGAAAAACACGTCGCTGTGAATTAATAAAAGTTTTACCCTGGACGCGAACAGAGCGGGATTAAAAGACCAACAACCGGCCGATGCCGAAATTAAAAAGTAAATTTTGCATAATGGCGCAGGACGAGCAGCTCGGTGTTGGTTTATTGTTTGCCTCGTTTTTCATAATAACGCGCGGGAGCGGCCACTAAATTTTCAGCGGGAATTTTTTCGTTCATACTTTATTCCAAATGGACCGGGGATTAGCGGACGACAATTTGCAACAACCCAAATGGCCCGAGTTAATTGACTCCATTTTTCAAGGACGTGCTGTTTGCAATTCTACAAAAGGGAATTCGCGAGAGGGAAAATGAATTTCCGCAGTTCGGAATGACAAAGAAGCAAAAAAAAATTGTTTTGCTGCCGGAAATTCTCCTCTCTCTGAAGTAACGATGGACAATTTTGGAAATAATTATCCTCTGGGAGAAAGAGAGCCGAAATTTATTCACCCTTGGACCAAATTTTTTCCGCTGGTAATATTTCGGAATGATTTAATTTCATGGCCGGGTACCTCGTTGACCCCCATATTCGCCCGGAAATTTTCTTTTCAGAAAGTAGAGGGATGAAAAAAAAATGCTTTTCTTTTGCGGTGGAACCCCCAGGGGGCCAAGAGGGCTGGGGCGCGGCAGCCAGTTGCTTTCCCATTAAGCGACGTCGCGTAGGATGAAAAAAAGAGAGAAAGCCATCATCGGGCGTGTGTTGCAATTCACAATGCACCAGCGGTATTATCCCGCTCCCATTTCGCCGAATCAAACAGCGACTAATAACAAGGCGAATTTTCTTCTCTCGCCGGAGATGAGACGTGCCGGTGCGGAGGAAGCGAGTCTCTCATCTATTTCTATTACACATCCCGCGCAAAAGGTGCTGGAAAATATTTTCCGAAGTGATTGGCAATTTCTTTGCAAATGGCTCGGCGCAAAAATTGAACGAGATAAAGATTGATGGAGAAGAGGGAGATGCGAGTTCCCAGTTAGCTTTTCTAACCTAAAGTGCTAAAGATGATGCAAAGCTCCAGCATCCTCGGCTCATTCGCTGGTTTCTGTGAACAAAAGAAGATTTAAATTTAATTTAATTTGATACAGTCTGATTCTTTCTGTTTTCACATACCCCGCCCAAAGTTGAAGATATCGATATGAGATTTTCACCACTTCACCATCTTAGTTTGGAAGCGACTTTCCTAAATTTTTGACTAAAAATTTTCAAAATTGCGGGTTTTGCGGGACATTTTGTAAAAACAAAAAAACATGATTATCTCAGCTTCTAGTGGTCGTAGAACAATTTTCCGGGTACGGCTGAACTCGTCTAAGCAAGTTCTACAACTTTGCTGTTGAATGTAAAATTTTAGGTCAAAGGTCAAGGTCATTTTTGGTGACCTGAAATTTTCAAACTCAAATTTGAAAATGTGCTGCATGATGAAAATCATTTTTGAGATTGCCATTCGATTCATCATGAAATTTTACGTATTATATGTCAAAATTGCGATGTTGATATTTTTAGTTTAATTTAAATAAAAATAAGAATATTAAAAAACGTGGTTTTTCGCACCTCGGCAGGCAGTGTCAACAATATAATCGTCTGTAACTTTTGTTCTGATGATTTTAGGTACTAAGTGGTTATGACCAAAGTTAATCTCCACGTCAAGACCAATCGATTGGTGTATATGTCAATGACCTTTAGTGACCTTGGGGTCAAAGGTCACCCAGGTCGGTGACCTGGGGTCACACGACCTAAATGTGTGATACGTACTTAGAAAGGTCTTGTCAAGAGGATAATTTTAGTCACTAAGTTTTTTACTTTACGTCTACTACAAATCGAATAATTATAATTTTTCCTAATTAAACGCAGAAGTTTAGGTAAAATTTATTGGATTTTAGAGATTACTCGCTTTGTGGTAGACGTAAAGTAAAAAACTTGGTGACTAAAATTATCCTCTTGACAAGACCTTTCTAAGTACGTATCACACATTTAGGTCGTGTGACCCCAGGTCACCGATCTGGGTGACCTTTGACCCCAAGGTCACTAAAGGTCATTGACATATACACCAATCGATTGGTCTTGACGTGGAGATTAACTTTGGTCATAACCACTTTGTACCTAAAATCATCAGAACAAAAGTTACAGACGATTATATTGTTGACACTGCCTGCCGAGGTTCGAAAAACCACGTTTTTTAATATTCTTATTTTTATTTAAATTAAACTAAAAATATCAACATCGCAATTTTGACATATAATACGTAAAATTTCATGATGAATCGAATGGCAATCTCAAAAATGATTTTCATCATGCAGCACATTTTCAAATTTGAGTTTGAAAATTTCAGGTCACCAAAAATGACCTTGACCTTTGACCTAAAATTTTACATTCAACAGCAAAGTTGTAGAACTTGCTTAGACGAGTTCAGCCGTACCCGGAAAATTGTTCTACGACCACTAGAAGCTGAGATAATCATGTTTTTTTGTTTTTACAAAATGTCCCGCAAAACCCGCAATTTTGAAAATTTTTAGTCAAAAATTTAGGAAAGTCGCTTCCAAACTAAGATGGTGAAGTGGTGAAAATCTCATATCGATATCTTCAACTTTGGGCGGGGTATGTGAAAACAGAAAGAATCAGACTACAGTAGTATTATCTGAATTTTATAATTATAAAAATGCTTTTAAGGTTAATGGGGGCTTATCATTAATTAATTGTTTTGTTGTTGCTCATTGCATTTTGTTTACTCTGGAGATAAAATTATTTCAATGAGTCAAAAAAGTCAAGCAAATCCCTCTATTCTTCATCCTCTTCATAATTTTCTTCACATTTTCTTTCTGCAAATACAATTTGCAAACTAAATGATATTTAACAATATCTATGACCTTTATTTAGCAATGGACCCCTTTCATAAGAAGTTTGATGTGTTCAACTTTTATAAGTAAAAAATATATGAAATTGCTTGAAATTAATATTACAGTTTAGTTTTAAATATTTATTATTTTTCATCCTGTATTTTTATTGTTTTTATCATCATTTAATAAGTACAGTTAACTTTAATTTATTTTTATTTTATTATTTATTTTTGTAATTTTCAAAATTTTCTTTATAGTTTGCTTCAAATTTAACATTTTCTATAACAAATTGATATTTGATACATATGTTACATAAATATTTTGAACCAACAAACATTTGATTAGTATATTGAATTTTAAAAATATAATGAAAGTCTCCAAAAACTGCTTCCATGATGAATGTGACGATTAATACAATGCAATAAAAAATTGAAAATTCATGACCTCAACGACTTGCGATTTTCGGCTCGCAAAGTTTTCTGTTGAGTTTTGTGTGGAAAGTAAGGTAAAGTGCGGTTGAATTTGGCTGCTGGCGGCGCATCAGATGTTCGTGTATTTAATTAAAGACGTGCGAGAAAATGAGTTTTTAACTGGCAAGCGGCCGTTTTGTTATTTAATGAAACCCAGCGCATGCATCACACTCGGCTGCATTTTATTTTATTTGGTGGCCGCAAGCTGTCTGTCTGTCTGCCTTTGAAAAGAAACTTTTATATTTTCGCCACCGCCTTTTCTTGCTCGCTAAGTCAATATTAAAACCGTGGCTGGGCAAAGCGCTGAGCGCGATCTGCGGTCGTGCCCGCGAGGAGAGGCAGATGAATTTGCTCTCGTTGTCTTTGGCTCTTTAATTTTTAGCCTTTTGCCTTTGACACGACAAGAGAAACGGATAAAAGGAGGAATAACATCAAAAGGAAACCAACAAACAATACGAGACTTTCGTTTGCGCGCGCTCCATATTGGCCTTCGCTGAATTCCCCGCCTCTGGGAGTGAAATTAATATTTGAGCTTTCGACCTAAAATTTAATTGCGAGCGGAGCCAAGTAATAAGAAAGCAATTTCGCGAATCTGAGTGAGCAGAATATATGCTATTTGCATTATATGAACTTGTTCTTTTGTCTTACTGACAAATTCAAAACAAGAATCCGAAAGTCTGTTCAAAATTAAAATGAAGCCTTTCAAGGCATGTTTTCGAAATAAAGCAACCCAATTTTTACGATTTCTATTCTCATTTTTTTTCTTAAATTGATGAGAACATGGGCACAGAACAATTAATATAATTTTGTATTTCAAGTTCCGACTTATGTTGTTTTTGGAGGGGAAAAAAATGTGAAATTAAAAATAATTTAATAATAATTCCAAATGCCATGGGTTACATGTTAAAATATGACCGTTTAAAAACTGATATTTGCTTAATTTTGTTGGTTCTGATCAGGTTCTGATGATATTCACATTCACGTTTTTTACTTCTGGATTTTATTAGGTACTAAATTATTTTTGTAACTTAAAATAAATTGAATTTGATTCGATGATTTCAGTAGGCAAGATTTTTTACATGATATTTTTGTTTTTGCAGAGGGTGCGATTAAATTTTTTTTTTTAAATATCATCGATTGTGAATTTGAGCAAAATTTAATTGTCTCATCTCCACTCAAAACACGCAAATTGCAAAACCAGTTTCGTCAAAATGTGACCGTCCCTTTCAAAAACAAACCTTCCGAGTTAGGAAAGGAATTTTCTTTTCTTTGGCAGCTTCCCGTGCCAATAGAAGGGAAATTTCAATTTGGAGGTGAGAGCCCTGGGCTCCATTTATTCAGCAGCATTTATCCGAGAGTACGCCGTGTTACAACTTGTGCCATTCAGGCGGAATCTCTTCTCTCTCTGCGACGTGTGTGTGTTTTTGCCATTGTGCAACTCTCGGGCAGGGGGCAGGGAGGAAACTCATTACTTTGGTCTCTCTCTTGTTCGGATGCGCGCGTTATCTCCTTTTATGCAGCCACACGTTGCAATTATTCGGCTCTCGCTTTCTTTCTTTCCTTCTATCTCGGCTACTTTACAGAATTTAATTTTTTGCGTCACTCGAGCGTTAAATGGCCCGGGGGGAAATCAGCGCTAATAAATTCGAGCGCGCGAATTTCGAGAGCTGGCGAGAGGTAATTTTTCACTCGCACTGATCGACGCGCGATGACAAGTTGTGTCATCTGGCGTGTCACGTGGCGCGCGTGATTGATGCACTTTGCACCCGCGCGACACAAAACTGCTCTCACTCGCCCCCGGGCCGCCCGCAGCGCAACCCCATCGCATTAATTACAAAACTCTGCCTCGCCTGCGACGTGCCCACGATAAATTACCAATTATTTTCAACGCCGAATCGCAATTTGAACTTTTTGGAGTTTGAAAATTGTTTTAAAAAATTACCAGAGCACAAAATTTAATTATGTTGGGAATACCTGTGCAAAATTGACTTGGGCCGGTATGATTTTATAATGATTTTATATTAATTTTGTTTAGGAGAGAAGATTTTATATTTGAATGTATGAAAATAATTTATTTTCGCCTCATCAGTCATCACCCACTATCCTGAGCAAAATTTAACTATTTTAACTAAAAATCTAGCAATCTGAACTGATTTGCTAATGTAAAGAGAGTGTAAATAAATATTTTTTGCAACAGTTTGAAAACAAAAGAATTTTTTTAAAGAAAATTTCATAAATTTTTTTCTCCTGGTTTTATTCTTCCAGATTTAAAATTAAAATATTATTCAAAAATCCCCCTTTGTCCACTTTTATCATTTACCTTGACAAGAAAGAGGGAGCAAAAGTTAGCCGAGGGTCCGTAAAAATAATTACGGGCGGAATAGCGCATAATTTTAATTACGCAGGGTGCAATTATGCAAAGCTCTTCTCGAGGGTGCAACACCGCCGGCCAATAAAAAACAACAGTCCCCCGTGTGGCTTTCGGTCAATACGGTCGCCACAGCCACTTGCGCTTTTGCCGAACTGTCCTCACCTTCCGGGATTTGCGGCTCCGAACCGCATAATCCCGCTTGTTTCTTTTTTTTGCACCCTCCTGAACGGCTCCTTTCACTTCAGCCAGGAGATTAACTTTAACCGCGCACGCCTAAGAAGATTAAAAAATCATTATCATAAAATTTCAATGTAAGTCTGCGTGCATGCAAATTAGAAGAAAAGTTAAATAAAGTGGAAAGCAGGCAGAC